GGGGGGGGGGGGGGGGGGGGTGTCGGACTTATTTTTATATAAAACTAGTTTAACATTGCTTTCATTCATGACACGAGTATTATCAGTTATCGGTATCATAATTTTTAGTTCTTCCATCCCTCGAATTATGTATACAGTAAGGTTATCGTGTTGAGTGTTACGAGACGGTAGAGGCTATCATATGTGGAATAGAAGTATAATTTCTTCTGTCGCAGTAATCTCGATTGTTATTGATAAAACCAAGGGGAATGTACAGATAAATTTATTGCTGTTTAATCGAACAGCAATATAGAATTTTGAATCGAAATGCGATGTTTCTCGTTACGCGTGGTTTCTCTTTTCTTCCCTAATCTCTGCCCCACCCCCCATTTTCTTCTTTTGTACAAGACACGTATATAAGATCTCGTAATCGTATCCACCCTGTAAATGTGAATCAAATAAGAAATCGAATTTACTACTTTACTACCTTAGGGTATATTTGGAAATGGATTTTAGTTAAGAATAGGTATGACATATGATATCTGTACATTAAATGATTATTGGAGCGAAATAGTTGCGAAGACATACCACGACGCGAGGCACGAGCAGCCCAAAGGCCGTATCTAAAATCGTTCTATGCTAGCTGACCTATGAAGAATGTTCGTCTCTCCTCTTGAATCGATGTTCCTTTGCGTGTAGAAGGTTTGAAGCTTGGTCGTATGTTGCTTTTAAAACATCTCCTCTGCAAAAGACTCGTTCGATGAATACTAATCCATTTAAGGATCAATGTATTAAACAGCAGCAAGTTGATTGGAAGTTTTCTTTTTATTTTCCCTTTTTTCTCTTTCTTTACGACAGAAATAGTAAGCTAGCAATATATGACATTATCATTACTTTGGTCATCGAATAAAAAGTGCTGTGTATAAGATACGTACACCATTACTTTTACAATCTGATATTCTTTTGTCCTTAAACACAGGGTTTGTTCAGAGTTTATTCTTATTTTTTCTTTTTTTTTTATTCTTCCCTCTTCCTTTTCATTTTTTCCGTTTTTTAAGTTAAAATGTCCTTTCTTAGTAAAAAATATCGTGTTCAATTATTGATGTTACTTAGTGGCAACTATGTTTAAAAAGTATCTCTTTTAAAACAAATTCGAAATTTATGTATATGCTTTCTGATCGTATTTATATGAATAAAAAAATGGTAATTTGTTTGAGTTCTGCCAATTTGCGTTAGCAGAGATAGCAGTAGATAGCTAACAAAAGGTATAAATTCATTCGATAGTCACACGCACGATTCAACATTCGTTTAAACCATTTAAAGGATCTAACAAAGAGACTCGCAAAGTAATTACGGACGAGGTACTAAATAGTTTCTGTGACGATTACTGTGGAACAAAAACTGTAGCGCAGTGTAGTTTGGCCAGAAAGAAAGTTTATGCTTGTGTACACATTGTATGGACGCGCGCGCGTGTATGCGTATATACGAATTGCTTACAAACACCTTTGAAAGAAGAGAAAAACGTAAAACTAAAAAAGGCAGGACCAGTTTTTCGTAATATTAATCAATTATTATAAATTGGCATGTTGAAGACGAAGATGTTAATGCCGATGAATAGGGGTAAATTTCGTATTGACTAAGCAATAGAGAGAAAAAGGAAGGAATATGATAACAGTTTTATCGCGTTAGAAATATCATCGATTGAAACGGTCATATAAGGGTTGACACGATAAGATAAAAATAAACTTTTATGTTATTCGAGACGTCCAGGGATAAATAATAGTATCGAAAGTCAGAAGCTGTTAACTGCATTTTTTATTTAAATGAAACTGAATTTTAGTATATTAATAATAGTAGTACAAAATGAAGAACGTATAAAAAGTTTTCTGGCTATGTAGATCTTCTTACAAGTAAAATACGTATACATGATAGTATGTATGTAAATCGTTTATACATTCCCACGTGCTTTTCATAATTTTCTATATTGTTTAGTTAAATTCGTGTACACAGAAACATATACGTGTTCAGTGTAAAGGAAAAAATCATGCATTTGTTCATACAAATGTTTCACATTATCTATTTTCAACTGAGATACCGAGATATATTCAGCAGATATTACGGACATGTCATTTTTATTCTATAAATCTTTTCATTGCGAAAATGTAACGATAGGCAATAGAATCCATTAGTAATTTTTAGAAAATTAGGTCATATCGAAGTAGTGCATTTTCTTTTTTTTTCTATGTGCACGTGCAACCGTTTCATGCTTTTTCTATTCTTAGATTATACTTTATCTTATAACCTTATCTTATATTATCTATTCACGTATCTCTACCTTTTAAATGGGGTGTCATACGAATATCATATTTATTTGTAACGTACGATAAACACGTAAAAGATTCTTTCCCTTTTTTCTCTTTCACATTTAAGTATGCATTAAATAATGTTAAGAATAATTTATGTCTTATTTTAAAAGTATAACGAAAAAACTATAAAGAAAGTAGAAGAGAAGTACCGGTCAAATTGAGTAGAAAAAATGGGCGTCATCAAACGAGAAATTTTGTTAAATACAAGTTTGTGGTGATGAACGTAACGTATGAATTTGTATGAATTGTTTACAATAAGAAATTAACAGCAAGAAAAAAATAAAGAAACGCTAATGATATATGAAACCACTAAAATGGAGCATAAAATGTGTAAAGTTTTGATAATACGGGGTTTTGATATTCGAAACCCAAACGTATACCGCTTGGTAATCGTGTATAAAAGAATACTCTGTAGTGATTTCGATGATTTTTAGATATGTCGTAAAACTTGGTATTTTTAACAATTTTTTCTTATGCATACAACCACCGCTCAGATATAAGTATATATCATATATATGTAGATACTTTTCCACGAGATTGCATTATATGATTCCTCCCGTTACGTTCTACCGTTCAGCTATCGAGGTGATGTGTTTATAGAAACAGAAGATAAGCCATGGTCCTAAGCTTACGCACACGCTGCTATGGACGTATATAAGTACGTACAGGCAAAATTCAATGCTTAGTAACGAAGGAATTTTACTAATATCTCGAGAATTAAGCTTCAACGGTGATTATATTCACAAGAGAAAGTTATTCAAAATGTCGAGTTTTACATGTTTCAATGTTATCAAAGTCGGTGGAGAGTACTCTTTTATGCTCAAGTACTCATCGCTTACATAGTTGTATATGGTGGAATGTGTTTCCCGCCAATAAAGCACATACCTGCCCTGGAGGGGATAACGCACGCTATCATTACTAGAACACCAACCAACGGCTCTCGATGTTGTATACTTACGAAGTCTATATGGCGGGAAAGACGCAAATAGAAGGGAAGGGGGGCTATGTTGGTGAGACAGTCTAATGGCTGACAGGCCAAGAAGCGAGAAGTGGATACGCGCGCGCAAATCTTTCTTTCTCTTTGCTGTGTGCACATGCACTCATTCTTGTGTTTGATTTGCCTCTTGTCAGACGCCTCTGTCAAGCCGGCTTCCGACATGGTTGGCCCAGTCGCGTTATGGACGTCGTGCGGCAGGATTTGATCAGTTCTTGAAGTTGAATACGAGTAATGCAGAAGATATTTTTGTTTTTAATCACCTCGTTGCTTTTCAGTCGTTGCAAATAATCGGAAGTGAAGTAAGTGCGTTTTCAATTTAAAGAAAAGGAATCACGGTTTTATTATTGTATATTTTTTCCTTTTTTTTTCGTTTTTGTTCTTTTTTCTTTGTCCTTCGCCATTGTCTGTCGAACGATTTCTAAGTAGGGACGAATTATGAACAAAATAAATTTTTTAGTTGCAAGAAATAAATAAACAAATGAAAATAAAAAGAAGCTGATTAATCAGAAATGAATCTTGAGTAAACTAAACTATCTAGCTTTTAAAAGTGTCAACGGAGAGTAAAGAAAAAAGAAAGCAGAATAATATTTAAAAGTGAAAATTGAGTTATTTAAAATGAGAAAAAAAAAACAAAACCTTTCCATGCAAATCCGTCAGATACAGCTGTATTACGTGAATAGCATTCAAATAACGTCATCGGTGTCATTTTTGTAACAATAATTAGTAATGCAATAATACAAGATCAACAGAGGGAGAATATCAGAATCTCATTATTGAAACATCACTTATTTCCGTGATTTCTGATAAATGGAATAAAAATCTTTTATGTTTTGTTATTTAAATGAATTAATTAAACGCCAAATTTGAGAAGTACAGAGAACAAAAAGCCGAAAAAGAGGAAAAAAGGAAAGAAGGAAAAAGAGAAGGCGAGAATATCTAGTGAGAAAAAGAAACGTTATGTTAATCATTCTAATCAATACGCAACGTCAAGCAGTATAGGGATGATTATAGGAACTATTCAAAGTAAGACATAAAATCATCGGTGAAGATTGGGAATATCTGGATAAAGTTCTTCATTGAAGTTCCCAGTTATTTTAATATTGTGTCGTGTTATCTTTCGCAACGTGTATCGAGCTTTTTAAGTTATTATAAATACAAGAACGTCATGTTACCACCAGCCGCTATGCACTTGGAACAAAAAGAGAGTACCGAAAGAATGACAGGTACACAACAACACTACCTTCATCAGTATCGTAACCAATATTATCACGATGATCAGCATCAACATCCTCGACATCCACAGAAGCAGCAAGGTTATCATCGTTATCGGCGTCATCACCGCAACGATCACCACCACCACCACCATCATCATCATCATCGTCATCGCCATCACCGACATCATCATCGACACAAACATCAACTAAACTCTCAAATTGATCAACAACTACAGCATAATTTTCGTCATTCGCAAAGTACTGACTGTCGTCGCACAATATCGCCTTTGTCGTTATCGACTATGCCGCCTAACGATAATTCTTCCTCCGCTCAGCATGCGAATATGTTTGTAACAGGTAAGGGTGATAATGATCATCGATTTAAGATAAATTTCTTGAATTTCTTTATAGAACTAACAATTTTGTTGAATTCTATTTTCCGAGTCTTCATAGTAATGTGCCGATGAAATATCATATGATTACCGAATTAGACATGGAATTGTGCAAAATTTACGTTTTATTAAAACGAGTAATTGATTTCAAGATTGATCGTCTATCACCACCAGTGTTGCAGAATCAGAGCAAAAAATTGTGCCTATTGCGCAATTGTCACTCATATCTCTCTCTCTCTCTCTCTCTCTCTCTCTCTCACACACTCACTCACTCACTCACTCACTCACTCACTCACTCACTCACTCACTCACTCACTCCCCCCCATCTCTCCTCCCTTCCCCATCTCTCCTCCCTTCCCCATCTCCGTCCCACCTTCACTCCCTTCTCCTTTCCCTCCCTCTAGATGTCTTACTGTCTCTGTTTTATTTACTCATACACTGACGCTCCTTACACTCTTGTATGCCTGTAATACTCAAGAAAACGAAAATATATCTATGTACAGTTGTGTGTTAGCTTGTGACTGTTTCTGTGAATTTTCATTTCGTGATTATTTTTAACATATATCTAATGTATTACGTTAATAGTATTCGTCAAATAACCTTAAACATTCTATGACGTATAATACGATTGGTATAATGTTTGAAAAATGTAAATGTAAATTGATTAATTGAAAATAATTGTTCAAAGAAGTAACAAGCATTATTAAATATGATTGTTCCAAAATGATCTTGTATTGCGCATATGATTGCAGTTACGTCATTTATGTTTCATAAATTTGACATATTCTAAAATGCCCGTTGAGACGTAACGTGTGAGATAAAGTTTGTATCTTCAGGGATAGATTTTAAGTCCGTTGCACATCAATATGGTCGGGATCCCTGTAAGCATTTGTGTAAACCCCGTGGCACCATTTAACTGTAAGCTTAAATCGTTAGCGATCAGTTTAACATTCATTATTCAGAATTGAAAAAAAAAACAATTCGTTTTATCGTCTGATTTTGGGGGGGGGGGGGGATTAGTAAGGAATTAGTAAGAGTAGTACCGTGTAAATTAATTGTAGCAATTATATTATCAATGATATTAATATAAAATGTCAAGTGCTTGTTACAGAAAGTAATGGATTTTTTTTGTAAACTTATTTCGAACAGAATAGGAATATCTGTTTGCGTAGGAAATAGTATTGGAAATTGTTGAAACTTCATGATTAATTTATTTATTAGTTTAGTTTCGATTTCTATACTATGGATTATCACAGAGATGGAGCTTGTAGCTGAAGGAATAAGATCCTGAATAATAAATTACAAGTAGTATAATATTCGTCTAATGTTCATTAATATAGTAACACTAACAAAATGTATTTACATCTTTAATGCTTTTAATCGGTGTATTCAATGCAAAATTCCCCGGACATTGCGTACGTAAGCTTATGTCACGAAGGTTACCACCGTCAAATAATTCTTTCGATATCAAATACTTTCTGAGCATTGATTATGATAAAAATATGAACGAAAATTCAAAGAATAATTTTGATATGTCCTTAACTATTATTTCTTGTCTTATTTCTCGTCTTTTAAGAATTTTACAAAAACTAAAAGTCGGGAAATTAAAGGCCAAGAACGCACAGTGTGAAAAGCCGTGTTGCATGTACTGTACATGATATTTTTGAGTGCAGTAGGAGTACTAATAATTAACGTCGCGTAATGCTATGATGATCTTTTGGAAAACTTCCAAACGTGTTACGGGTCACCGACTGTCACTATTACGATGTAACTTTGTAAATAGATACTGAGATACTTTATGAAACTTATTTCGTAATATTTCTCTAACGTTGATTCGATATTTTTTATTTTCTTTCAATGCTGTCAAACGATTATATATCGTTTGTATGAAATCGACGAAATCGTTTTAAATTTCGTCAGTAGCTTCGATACGTTTTGAAATTTCGAGAAATTTATAGACTGTGATTATATTGTAATATTAATAACTCCTTCACACACTATCAGTCGAATTATAAATTCGGCAATTTGAAAATTTTGTTGCTTTGCACAATTTTGTTTTAAAAGTACTTTACACCTTTGAAAGGTAGAAACTATATCTTTGTATTGTTTAGCTATTGAAAACGTAACAATAATTACAAACTTATTTTTTGTTACAGCAATGATATATTCTACTTTCATACGTTTCACTATATTATCATATCAATATATGATAATTATTTGGAAAAAGAAAGAAAGAAAGAAATAAAAAGGATGAGAATAGATCATCGAATAGCTTTGTGCGCCATTAGAACGCACGGTGCATCTGTAAACTCGCTGGCAACTCGTTGTATATTTAGCTCAATGGAGGAAGAAACCGGCGCTTCGTGTACTGACCAAACTAAGGTCGTTGGGTGGCTTTTTCTTTTCGTTAGCTACTCGTATTCGTTCCATCGAGCCGATAATGTTTGAGGTATAGTTTTGTCACTGTACGCTATTCCTATCATCTTCGTTTATGTCGTCGCCGTCTCCGTTGCCGTCGCCGTAGTCGTCGTTGTCGTGGTTGTCTTCGTCGTCCCTGCCACCGCCATCGCCATCGCTATCACCATCGCCATCGTGACACTCGACGTCGTCATAGTTTTCGTCTAGCCGTGAGGAGCTTGGATCCTAATTTTGTGCCGTCGGGTTACTGGACCTTACGTAACTACAAATTCAAACGCTAAGATTAGTTGACGGTGCAAACTAACCAAGATCGCAGATTTAGTCCCCGGGCGTGTAGGTTTACCAGAAAGAAGAAAAAAAAAAAAGAAATCAATAGTATACATAATGAAAGAATAAGAGTGAAGCAAAATTGGATGCTTTTTCACGTCACTTAGATATTCGGAAGAAAAAGGAATACGATCGTCTATGAAATTTGTGAAACAAGATGAAATTACACCGTATCTCGTACATTTACAATGATTTCATGTATGTTTCAAAAATATCTAATTTTTTTTTTACATTTCTTAATATGGATAAATGTGCCGACCAGTTTGACTAATAAAATAATAGATCACGATCTTTCTTCTCTTTAAATAAAACTTCGATAGCAAAGTTACTTTTGGCGTAACATGATCTTCGTATATAGTGATCTTTATAATTAAGTACTGTAATGCAAGTTTATTATTATACGTATATGCAAATTTCTGTTTAACTGTAGGATCTACAATTTTTTTGAAACACGACACCTGTAAGAAGTTAGAAAAATTAATAGGCAATTGTACGGCATATTTTATTCTTTCCTTTTCGGTCTCATTTCTCTTTTTTTTCTTTCTTTTGACTGCAGTGCATAATCGCATTATAATTGTGTACCTAAAATAGCAGAATGGATCAAATCAGAGAGATAGATAAACTTTAATTGTTGTTTTTCTGTATACGAAGAAAAATATTTTCAACAGAACGATATTTTGATGTCCGTTTAATTGTACCATCACATTAATTCTGTGTCTTTTCTAGTTTCTTTTCTATCATATAAAAAATGAAGTTTGTGTTTTCACAAACTTCAATAGATATTGATCATAATGATCTAAATTACGAAAATAAAAGACAAAAAAGAAATATTACTTGTAATTGTACCTGTATGATTACAAATTGCCATAATAAAATTTAGAAAAAAATTCATTAAAAGAGTAGCGTATATGCCTGTGTACAGACATAAATTCATCTATCACACGAATATAAATGAAAAGCATAAAATTTTCCAAACCATCCGAAATCGGAAATCGAATAAAGATATTACTTCAAATTATTTAATTATAGGATAAACATCGATCGTTTTGATCGTCAAAATTATTTGATTTCGTTTGTTTTTCTTTTCTTCTATTTCTTTTTTTTAATCTTTTTTCCCCTTTTTTTCTTACACTTATCCTGTTTGAGCATTATATTACTTAAAGAACAACTTTATTTTCTTAACGAAATTTCTCTTAATTAAAATGAAAATTTTTTTGCCTGCGTACAGCAGAAAAAAATTACATTACCCATCTATTCAAATTTAATTACCGATATTCGGTATAAATAAGTAAAACAGAGATAACGCAATAATTTTGGATTGCCTCGATTATGAAATTGCTTTTTACGAGGATTATATTATTATGAAATGTAATATGCGATAAATGGAATAAATGTAATATGCAATAATAAAATGTAGGTATGCGTAGTATAAAGGACATATGTGTCTATTTGTCACAGAAACAAGCGTAATGAAAGGATGAATGATAGGAAATAACAGAGGAAAAAGAATACCCGTGCTTGAATGATAAATTTAATTCAATAAATTTTGGTTTTTGTTTCAGCAAGAGAACGTTTTCCTTGGTTCCGATACGGAACATGATTCGAATGCATTACGTACTAAGGTCCATTCTGGAATAGTTCATCATTCTGGTACGCATTCTGTGAGAAAACGTCGAGGAAATTTACCAAAGCACTCCGTGAAAATCTTAAAACGATGGCTTTACGAGCATAGATACAATGCTTATCCAAGCGATAGCGAGAAGTTAACGCTGAGTCAAGAAGCAAATTTGACTGTACTCCAGGTTGGTATCCTCTGTTGTGATGCTATGTCGTTTTCACTTCGTATCTTCTTATATTTTTCTTCTGTTTTCTTTGTAAAAATTCTTAACTTGTTTATAATACAGACTACTGATACTTCAATGTTACTTGCTCGTTGTTATAGGTTTGCAATTGGTTTATAAATGCCAGACGACGAATTCTACCAGAAATGATTCGAAGGGAAGGTCACGATCCCCTACAGTATACAATATCTCGTCGTGGTAAAAAAATGCCTGCAGGAAGCCATCAACAATCATCCGGTCTTGGCTCAAGATCCAATCAAAATTGGGATTCGTTAGCTGGTATGAGTGCACCGAAACGAAGCAGAGATCATGATTACGAAGATCCTGCTGGATTAATGTATAGGTTTGTTGCAACTTAAACCTTAATTTTCTAATTTTATAATTAGAAAAATATTACATTAGAAAATATTCAATTCGTTTCGTATTTCATATTATTTTTAGAAGTGAAGAGGACAGCCCAAATGATTATGAAAGTAGTTCCCACAGTGAAGAGGAACGTCCATCGACACAGTGGCCAAGTGTGATAGTGTATCCTTATTCAGAAACTAAAATTGAACAAAATGTCAGTCAACTTGGTGCTTACGATGAAACAATTGCCCATCCAGCACGACGAGGGTATGCATATTGAAATTCACTTATATGATTTTTTTACTTTTTCGATTTTATTGACAATACGTAGCTTAAACGATGAAAGTATCACTAATTATCCGTTTTATTTCCTTCATTCTATTTAGTGACGATGACGAATCTTCTATGGGAAATGAAGCCGCATACTGGAGTGCACCGAGGCAACACCTTATCCAAACATCTGACGTACAGCATGAAACAGAAGTATATGATACGCGTAACGCGCACAGTCCTCATACAGATGAAACGCCACCTCCAACACCACCCGAAGAGGATAAAGACAAGTTCAAGTGTCTCTACTTACTGGTTGAGGCAGCTGTTGCCGTACGACAACAAGAAAAAGAACGTGAGGGGGCCGTACCGGTTTAACGAGAGCTGTATCTCTTGTAGCTTATAACGATGTTTTTTTTTTTAATTTTCGATTCTCCATTATTCTATGGAGGATGCAAAATAATTCTTTCTCTTTGGTATATCATCGTCATGGAATTGATTTTTTTTGTCTTTTTTTTTCTTTTTTATCAATTTTCTTTCTTTCCCTTTTTTTTTTCTCTTTCTTTTTTTTTTCTCTTTTATAACCTTACTCGATGATATTCTTTTCCATTTTTAAATATTCTCTCACAATTTCAAAATGTTCGAATCAGACAAAAGAGAATCTAACAGAATTCATAACACATTTTCCTTTCTGATATTTTAGTTCTTTTGCCAATTTTTCTATGTATATGTACGCATATATATAGATATATGTGGAGAGGAGAATATCAAAGACCTATGAAACTTGAAGAACAACTATAAGTATATAATAAAACTAGCCATTAAACAATTGTGCGTATGAAAGTGCTCTCCGAATGTTGTGTTTACCTTCGTATGACACGTGATTTACGGGTGCATTATTTTGAAATTCTACAACGAAGACTCTCGAAAGCACACGTGGGAACTGTACTGTACGGCTTTTCAGTATTCGTTGTGTTCTTCAAGGCAATAATAAGAGTCTTTCCTAATGGAGGACATTTAATAAAAACAATCCTGCCTTTTCGTTATGAAAGTAAAATGTCACACAGCTATATTATAAATCAGTACCGAATATGTTATAGGGCGTGGAAATGACACATCTGAATATGATGCGTTTTTATTTCGGTGTTATATATTTTTGTCAATACGTGTATTTTAATACACGACTGGCAGAAACAAAAAAAAAGAAGAAAACGTGAGATTGAGAGTAAAACAAGTGCCAAAATATTATGTTGCAAGTGAAATATTGTATTACGAAAGAAAAGTCAAATCGGATGTCAATTCATATTTTCGTTCAAGTCTTCGCTCCGTGTATCGTAATTCATAATAAAATCATCTCCATAATATGATTGTGTTACGAACGCGTGGTTGTTTTTTAACGTTCATGGGTAGAAAGGGAGAAGTGATAGATTGAAAAGAAGTGGAGAAAACGGGTGATACTTTATGGATAAAATGCCTAAAGGAACTTAAATATTTATGTATTTCCATTTTCTCTATTGAAAGAAAAAGTGGATTGGTTGGATATAACTGTTTACAAGCTTTACTTATAGTTATGCTTTTAAATCACTTCCTATGTATATATGTTCACACTGTAATAATTTCCTAAGTTTATTACAGTAAACACTAGCCAAAGAACATAAGAAATTATTTTCTTATGTTCTGTTGTCACGTTTAATGAATTCTTTCTTTCCTTGTACCGAAAGTAATGAATTAGTCATACGACGTTAATGGTTGTGCGTGTTTTCTATCCATATTTTGAACTTATGCAGTAGTTAGACTCATGAGTATATTATTTTATGCGTATTATTTCTTCTTTCCTTTTAACAATCTTCCTCTTTAATTATTACTATTAGAACAATATGTACCATTTTACAGCAATTGTGATTTTTATGGCGTTTACATTCGCATTTATGTTAGATAAATAAGACTGCTCGAAAAGAGATTTGTACACATAGCGACGAGTTTACGTAAAGTTAATGCATCTCTTATTTCTCCCTAGAACAATTGAACGTTACTGTAACATTGATAATACCGATTAACCGTTCGACTTTCACGAGTATAATACATATATCCTATCTAAGGAAGGATATTTTTGGGAAGAATAGAAAAAGAAACGATACACGAAACGAGTGAACAGCGTTTATTAATTACATTAAGTACATAAACTGAATAATAAGCGCATGTGCCTATTAAGAGATAGATGTATAGATAATAAGTACATATATTATAGATTTATATCACAGCCACATGATTCAACGTACGTTACGTTACACAAAACCACGAATTTTTAAAGATTCGTTATTTGAAAATTAGCGTCAGAAAACATGAATCGCGTATAGAAAAATCATTGGTACAAACGCCAAAGACTTAACCGTTAGTTATATTGAATAATTAAGTTCTTTAAATAAATTCAGATAGACAAGTCCATTTTGCCGAATACGTAGCTAGTTAATGTGTTTGTCGTGTGTTCGAGCGTTTGGTAAAAATTTATTGAAGTGGTAAACGAAGGTAGAAGGAAAAGGAAAATGAGAAAGCGAATGAGAAGAAGAAGAAGAAGAAGAAGAAGAAGAAGAAGAAAAAGAAAAAGAAAAAGAAAAAGAAGACGAAGAAGAAGGATAAGAGGAGGAAGAGGTGGAAGAAGAGCAAAAAGTGATATGGAATATGATACGGATAAAAAAGAAGAAAAAGAGAAGTGTTACGAAATGTGCCTATGAAATGTATATTACAATCATTAATTGTAGCGTATATCATGAAAGTGTGAATGTAGACGCGAACGTGGATCGATGCAATTGTATGCGTTATAAAATGAATTTGTTCATGTATGTATGCATCGATACGCGAGCTAGATCCAAACCGTGTTCAAATGAAACGAAGTTCTTTGATGTACAAAATATGATTCAAATTTATTTTTAAATCGCGATAATTTAAGTTCGCGGAGCCGTCTCGTTAAAAGCTGTTAAGAAAATACTTTACATTAGTTTAAGAATAGATCTCTCTCCGACAAAAGATAAACCTGCGAAAATAAGAATTTTCGATCGGCAGGACTTCTCGATCGCGCACACTGAATAATGTGGATTACAACGATGATGACGAAGACGAAAACGGCGAAGAAACGAAAACGACAAGGATATAAGTAGGTAGAAAATGTATTCCGATCGAGTTGTTACTGTTATCCGATTCCATTGTTTCTAATATATCTAAATCGCCTGTTTCGCGAGTGATGTGAGCATTGCAGTTTAGCTCTATTGTATTCTTTTGTTTGTTAGTATCAAGAAAAATGAGTACATTGACAAAAAGGCAGAGCTGAAATTATGCGTGTGACCAAAATTATTCTAATAACGAAGTATATTTTCATAGTTCCTAACTCTTTCAAAGTTTACACTATCGGAGAGACAAGGGGAACAGAAGAAATGGATGATGAATGCATGTATGAGAAGTACCAGTTGTTACCGAGATGCATAATTATAAAAGCAATAAGTGTGCCTTATTCGAACGTTTTAAATGCATACCGATAATGATATGTAACTGGAAGTAATGTCGAAAAGTTCGCCGAATTCGTCGAATTTATTTCTAATGTATTTACGATTTTGAAAAACTTTAGGTAAGGTAAATGAAATAAAAGTATAGAGTTCGCGTTTTCATTTTGGTAAATTCTTCTCTCTGATAAATAGGGGGGAGGAAGAGGAGAAAAAGAAGAAAAAGAAGAAAAAGAAGAAAAAGAAGAAGAAGAAGAAGAAAAACAAGAAAAAAAGACAGATGAAGACAGATTAGATCAGATGAAAAATTCAATATAACAGATATAGATCAAAGAAGGAGCGTTCATTCTGCATAAAACCTTATGCTCCTAATACCAAGGGAGCACTAAATTAGCATTTTTTGAGTAAGAGGAAAACTAAATAATTATGACGACAACGACGATGATGATGATGAATGAACAGAGAAAAGGAGAAGATCTGGAGGAAATGAGAGGTGGAAGAGAGAATGTTTGCAATTGTTTTGTCTATACATTGTTCGATTACATATACATACTAAATTCCGAATAAACATTCGGCCAGATAAAATATTTTCATATGTCCTTGTATATCGATAAATATTATTTGGAAAAAAAGCTATTTCAAGAAAGTGCACGTAATGTGCAGGATGTTAAAAAAATAAAGAAAAAAAATGAATAAAGCATAAAAAGTATGTAGCGTATTGAAGGCAATTTTTATGTGTTAATTACAGATGGTGGATGTTTTTGTATACAATACTTATTTCTTTCGGTTATTGTTACCATATAAACACTTGTTAAATGCGTAAATTTTTATTTTTGACATCCTGTATAAATACAAATAATACTTGTATATGCGCACGTGTATAGACGTGCGACAGGTAGAAATTCTTTTCTTGTTTGTCGTAACGCTTAAAAGTACATAAGCGTAGAAATATTTTATTAAAAAGAATAAATAATGTAATAAAAGTTCTCAAATCCTAACATTTCATGTATATATTCCTATGTATAATTTGCTTCTTCAAATTTACATACTCACATATACTGGTGCTAGAGATGTATTGAAACTTATATGATTTCGAAGGTTTTGCAGATTTTGCAGCTTATAATTATTTACTTAATGCAGCTTCGGTCTTTTATAGTTACATATAATACATATGTATTATATATAATACATATAATTTGATGTGACTCTCTTCCTACCCTTATCTCTCCTGCGACAATTCTCGAACTTTTAAACGTTTTGTCGCAAAAATTTGCAGTATATTGCATTGACCGTAATTCCCCTAAGAACTAACGGAACAGAAAATCGGAATGTACTTAACTTGTTTATGAGGAAAATTTGATTAATTTAAAAAAGAGAAAAAAAGAAAGGAGATGCTATTATTGATCCCTTTGAAAGTGGAATTCCTGTAGCATTATAGTCTTTAGAGTTACACAAAGTGCATACTTATACGAATTTCACATGTATTTTTGAAATGAAACATTTCCGACTTTTAACTACCCTATTATATTCCTCTACAAGCTTCCCATGCATCTTCCTACGCATGGTCCTAAATATGAATACTGTAGCTGAAATTTCTTTCTGAAATGTGTTATCAATGGTTAGAAACAATGAGGTAGTTGTGTTAAATTCTACCCTCCTCAACTAGTTTAGTTTCAATTTGCATACAAATATAAGCTTTTCTTATTTGATTTTATTATTAACGCATCTTTTTCTATAGATTTAAAATATACGATACACAAGTCAGGTTTACGATGAATTTGTTTACGCGTATGTAGGGTGCCATAAAACTACACCAAAATGCGTCTTTTGAATAGAACGAGATATTAATTAAGGAAACGTTTCTCTTTCAAATGAACAGTACTATATATTTATACTAAATTTCAGCGATAACGCGCGATTGTTCTGTTTTTTCCCCCGTTATTTCCCCGTTATTTCGTCCCTCTCGTACTTTCCTTTTTCATATATGAACTACCATATGTGCATTAAGCATGTGTATGAATACGGAAAAAGAATTTTTCAAATGATTTTATTAAGAGTATTTTCAACATTTTCCAGTACGTTTTCGTTGAAGACGAAAAATATTGATCACATAAAACTGTTGAAGCTAAAATTTTTTCAATGAATTATGATCATTTGCTACTTTGACTGGATAAATCTGTGACTTCACGCTTGTGAATTCACGCTCAATCGTCTATGTAGGCTTTCCGAACAATTCAAAATTAATAAATATTGTATTGTTCGTTTCGAAAATTTGTAATAAAATACATTGTGATTTATATTATTATCTGTAAGCTAAATTTCTTACCCAAGCCACATTCTACTCATCTTCTCTCATGCGTTACATAATAAATAATTTAAAATTCGTAAATTTACTTAAAGCTAACCACATTTGATATCTATTTGTTACGAGATAATATTACAAGAGGTATAAACAAAGAGAAAATGGAAAAAAAGAAACATTTAAACGCTGTTTGAGAGGAAACAAGGGTGTTGAGATTACGGAGGATTCAGTTTCGAGCATGTGTAAGAAAACGACGGGAATGAAAGTCAAGCCTGCATGTATGTATGTATTGTATGTGTAAGTAGCGAATACTTCCCACTCACGTGGGAAGTAATGTAACGGATGATAATGGGGCTCGTAAAATGAGAAGCGCCGAACGGATTACTGGTCAGTTTGAAACAGAGGCGAGAGTAGTCAGTAGCTTCCTATGACACACAAACTGCAACCATTCAGTGCGATATTCAGTACGCGGGATAAATTGAACAGTTCGATAAGAAAACGGTGATTATACGTTTTACACACGCGTACACCGAAATATAAATTACAATATATTAATACACGACACCGTATGTACAATACATAATTATACATATACAAATTACATACATGTTTGCGCGTATTATATGTATTTTACAAATACGGGACGAACGATAGTCATTTGGGATATGTAAAAGATAGTAAAATTCATCGACAGGAGACAAGTAACGCGTGGCCATAGTTGTAATTTAACATAGTAAGAAGACAAAGCTACATTTAAGGAAGAAGGAAAATTAATTTAGAAGGATAAAGAAACTGATCCTATTGGATTTTCATTCTAGCAACAACGAAGAAACTGGTGGTGATAGAAGCAATTATGCCGTAGCCCTGTTAATCAGCGTGCATCAAAATTAGCCCAGTTATAGTACAACGACCGTTCTCTGACGAGTAACACACCACAACGAAACAAACAACGTGTCCTGTGATAAATCCAAGGTATTTACATGTGCAATCATTTTGACTTCGACTCTTACATGTGCAATGATTTTCAATGTTCTCAATTATTTATATATACTTTTACTTTCATAAACTTTCCGACGTGAAACATCCCTTCATAATTGTTCTTGTCCCCAATTTTCCATAATTTCAACACGTAAGGATAAAGTACGGTACATGATAATCAAATTAGACCAAGACAAATGTTACATCATACTATCCAATATATCAATCAAGTACTTTATATATAATAATATTGTATATAATGATATGTGACTATTTTTTCAGATAGAGTTTTCAAATTTAATCGCTTCCTTTGATACCTAGATGAACAATCATCTAGATCTCAAGGTAATCCCGACGATATTATTTCCAGAATTTTTCTTCCAACTTGTTTCATATTTATTCCAAATTTCTAATTCTTCTTCGGATTTCGGAAGTTTCATTCCTTTAATATTAATTTCAACATTTTCGGAAGATGTACCATTATTTGTACTACAGTACCGCATGTCTCGATTCTTCGAGTTGAACAAGTCTTTCCTTTTCTTTTTGCATTAAAGCTAAGTCTATAATTGTATACTAATAACGATGAGAAACATTGAAAAACGTAGCAAATGATGAATCGAGAATCATCTCTTGTCGGAGATTATAGCAGTTCGAAAGATTAAGGAAAGTAAATACACAAACACGTGAGTGAACAAATGGAAAAAGTAATGGGAGGGATGAAAAGCTTCGATCGAGGGAGGAAGCGGGGGGGGGGGG